TAACCTTTTAATTTTCCATTTTACGGTAAAAAGTAATAAACATAAATTTGTAAACAATTTAATTTGCTACAAATAATGTATGACAAAATAGGATTGCTAATTTACGAGATACAGTGCTAAAACCCTTTGCCTCTTTTTTCCAAGATGACGGGGACCCTATGAACTTGAACTTAAGCTTAAAAAATTAAATTGCGTCTTCTCAAAAATGTACTCTCAATATAACTTTTTAATGGACTAGTACTCGCATTATCAACTACTTTGGAGTAAAAATTCTTTATTATTTTAATTAATATGGAGGGTGTTAAAACCCTGTTTTAAAAGTTTTTAATTTCCTATTTACCTATGTAGGACATGTTTAAATAATAAGAAACATATTTTGATTTATAAACTTATTGTCTAGCTACCAAATATTAGATATATAGTCTCAAGAAGTTAAATATTATATTTATATGGGATTTAGCCATAATTTATTTGTAATTAAAATTACTTTTTTATCTAACTATAGTTTGACTCGATTTACACTCCGGAAGTAATTTTTAAAAAAGATTATTTTAAATTAGAAAGTTGTTATTATAAACAAAGTTGTTTGGCGGTTAGGTTTAGATAGATTTAGATAAATAAAACTACCACTTACTATAGCTGATACTTATGGCTAAAATCGAAGGTGACGAGGAATTGAAAGTAAACAACAATCATGGCTCCGAAACATTTGAGAATGGAAAGGATAGGCATAAGAAGTGATAAATACATTTTCTATATGGTACAAAATAAAACCAGTTTTGTCGTACGGTCGGAGCATCCTCCGAGGTATTCGGTGTTTCTGGATGCGTCTCAACCGCCGCGCGCCGCTCGGGAGGTGAAGTGAATGTTTTTCGCCTCCATCCTTTTCCTCGTGGAATTTGCGTGTTCTTTTCCTACACTCATCTAGAAGCTTACCGGTGGTTCTGTAGTCACCAAGTGCCCACCTGCAATTTAAGTTACAACAACTTTCGAACAATAAGTATGCCCAGAAAAACCAAAAAAAAAACATTTAGATGGAACATGAGTAAGCAAAAGACTGTCACTGATATAGTTCGAGATAAAATATTATCTTTTTTTTAGGATGTCTGTTCGTTCAGAACATTGGCAATCATTTTTCTATGATGACTTAATTGGTTGCTTTACGGAATATCTGTGTTAAGGTTTTTCTATACCAAGCTCTCAGGTTAGCAAGCCAGGATATTCTTCTTCGTCCTGGGGCCCTTTTTTCTTTAATTTTACATTGAAAAATGCATTGCTCATATCTGCCTTGATTTCTCATTATATGTCCCAAGTACTGTAGCTTACGGACCTTCACGATGTTGACCAAACCTGCAGTTGTGTTCTTCCTCCATAGTACTTCTTCTTTGTCTATTCATGGTATCTGTACAATATTATTGTACAAGCCATAACTAAAAATTATTTTATTACGGTCCTGTCACACAGGCCTAAGCTATCACTATCAGTCAACGAGTTCGGGTAGAAGTTCTACCGTAGAACACTCCACTTCACAGACACATTCCAAGAGAGAGTCTGACACATTACACACACTTTCACTTGGTCGCTCGATTACCACGAAATTTTCTATATACTAAATTATTCTCTAAAAAACATACCTACTCGCTCGAAGTAAATTCCTCTAGTTTCATGCTATCAATCCTAAGCCTGGAACAGTTTACGGTAATAAACAGATATTTTGTGACTTTTAAAACCAATACAGTGTAGTGAACTGGAACTGGAAACATAGATTAGAAACCACCTGTACCTAATACGCCAAGAGAGCTCTCTCGAAGCAAGAAAAACTACGCTACGATCACAGGAAACCATGTAAGTGTTTTTTAATAACATTTGAACTGTTAATCTAAAGTGTTCCCATATTGCAAGTAGATTGTACCAGGTTAAACGTTCTCATTATTCCCTATACTCTGCCATTCTAATTTCTCAGCATTTAATACGATTTAAATCACCGTTACCCACTGTTCCAACCAGCAAAAAGTACCATATGGATTTACAACTCTAAAACCTTAAATTGCATTGTTTAAATCGCATGGTAGAAACCCCATATATTATATTATATTTTTATAATTATCATTTCGGGATATCATTTCTACCATTGCCGATAGAGCATCTTTAGCATCCTTTTGTATAACTGTATCTCAAAAGTCTGAAGTTTTAATAGAGTTTCTGCCTTCAATTTCCATAGGTGCGGCTGAGTTGGTTCTACTCCATACAGAGCACTGAGTACACGTAACATTTAAGGAGCCTTATTTTTGTTATTAGGACGAGCTCACGGCTCTTGAACACACAGCTCATATTTACGAATGCACTTTTTACCTTTTCAATGCTACATTTAATCTGTTGGGCATTGTTCCACGACTCATTGATTATAGTTCCCAAGTAGTTCTACTATGAGACACGTTCAATTCTCATTTGGTTCACATACAGATTTGCTCTAGTTATGTTTTCCTTGTTGATGATCACGAGCTTGGTTTTTTCTAGTTTCCTTGTTTCCTTTATATTGTTCATTTTCTTCTATGGTATTGAAAAAAAATATATTGTATCATCTGCATACCGCAGGTTATTGAGCAAATCCAAACTGATTGGATGCAATTTGTTCCTCATATTTCTAGTAATTTTTTTTGTGGATTACTTTTAAAAACAGCTTTAGCAGATGGCTCATTAGGCTTATGATCCCATAGTATTTTGCTCCTGGTTTTCTGTGCAATGGTATGAACTCCGATTTGAGGCACTTTACTCGTATTTTTTCTGCCTTGTATATTTTATTAAATATTAAAGTTATTATTTTTATTTGTTCTGCATCTAATAGCTTCAGCGGTTTTGCAGGAATTTCTTCAAGTCCCGGTGCCTTTCCATCCTTTATTGTCTGATGGCTGCCGTTATTTTTTCTGGTATGATTTTGAGACCTGAATTTTCTTTAATGGTGGATTCCTGTATTGATCTAAGGTCGTTGAAAGGTTTCTTTAAATATTCTTCCCATACTTTTTTTCATCTTTTTTGGTTATGACAAGATTTGGTTTCGGAACTTTCCAGCTATTTTTTTCACCTTTCGATGAAAGGTGAAGGAAATAGCTGAAGTTGTCATATCGACTCTGATAATTATTGATGTTAAATTTGTAATAATAGAGATCCATTTAAACCACAAACAAATCACAGCATCCTCTTAGAAGAAACAAAATAGAAACAACATAATAGAATTATGGTTTAAACCTTAACTTAAATAATAGGTAATGTACATATTTTTTATTTACCTTAGATAGACATGCAATTGTAAAGAAGTATTCAAGGTTGGTTTCATTTAAGAAGATAATAAATTAATTAATTCACTCAAATTTTATTTTTAACATTATAATAAATCCATAAGTAATTATTATTTTTTTGTTATTTGTTTAGTGACTGAAATATCTTGATTCAGTTATTAAAAGCTTTATTTAATTAATTATTATAGCAATTATTTTACTCTAATTCTTAACACTAAATGTACATAAGTTCTTAACTTTTAAACTTCAACTATTAATTGGCGTACTGTTATTAAGACTGGGTATTTACAGCGTTATACACACGCAGGTTTTTTTTTAATTATTTTTTTCGACATCAATTACATCGAAAGATTTTCACTTTTTTTTTCTTTTCTATTTCGTCTTTTGCAGATTTTAATAAATAGCACAGCATTTAGGGTGCGTTAAAAGGAACTTACATAAATAGTGAAACGATAACGCATTAAGACTTGATAAACTGTGAAAGCACCAAAAGTGCTCCCCTGCAAAAAGAAATCACCAGACCACGAAACTGTTAACTAGATAGATCACATCCTAATATATGCCAAGCGTTCTTTCGATCTCATGGATGTTAGAAGCTATCAAGGTGAAAACATAGATAACGACCAGTTATTTGTAATAGCAAAAATCAGAGAAATAATATCAATTTAAAGAAGGATAAACATATGGTTTTAAAATAAAAGGAGTACCAAGAAGCAACAGATAACAAAAATGGAGCCTAAAGGTAAATCAAGCAGGATGAACGAGAAGAGCAAAGGAGAAATATTGGACCTAGCAGAGAAGAAAAAAGAATTACATAGAAGAAAAATGGGTAATTTAAGAAAAAGTTCTACAGAAATTTGAAGAAAAGGAGAAAAGAAATTGGACCAAAAGTGGGGATTAAGGATAAAATGGAACATATCCGAAATAAAACGGTGTCATTCTTGAGCAGAAATGATTGGAATCCAGTATCCTTTAATTTAATAGTTTTTAGGCTTGTCCCGAGAGATCTACAAAAATGATGGCGGCGTCTTTTTACCGACACTGCATAAACTTTTATTTCTTGTCTGGCACAATAAGACCATGCCCCGTGAATTATCTTAGTAGATGATAAACCTGTAACATAAAAAGAGCGACGGACTCTAGTGTGACCACTACAGAGGTATAGCCCTGTTATTAACTGTTTACAAAATATTAGCAAATATTATCTACAAAAGGCCACAAGTTTACACAGTAGGCATAATTGGAAAACACCAGACAGGATTCATGCCAGAAAAATCAAAAATTGGAATAATTCGTTCAATAAGATATATTCTCGAGAAAAGAATAGAATGTAACTGATGAAGTTCGTTTGTCTCATATGTTAAAGAAGGATGCGTTGGTAAAATAAAAGCATCATAAAAAAGAACATTTGCGACTGGACAGGTATCCGCAGTGTCAACCAACTCTTTAAATTTGCGCAGGTTCAAGAAAAATACTGTAGAACGATTGCCAATTTTAGGGGGACCGGCCAACATAAGGAAAAAATAAATGTGTAATTTAAGTTTTAAACTTTGAATACAGTGTATAGGTGTATTTATTTGTCATTAAAAATATTTCACATTTTGCTAAAGACAGCTTTAGTCAAAAGACAGTATTAGTAAATTCTTATTTATGTAATCTCTAATTATATAAATTTTCTTCCTGAAATTCTAGTTATCTACTTACCAGATGAAAATGCCATTGCTGGAATATATGTGGCAATGGGTACTAAGCAGAAGACAGAAATGGTGAATAATACAGATGCGAGTTTTCTTGTTTTCTTATCGAATCTTATACCCAAATATTCGTATGTACTTGTTAGCTGCAGTTTGTAAAAAACTGGAAGGAAAACGTACACAGTTATTACAGGTACTATATAAAGACATATGGCACAAAGCCAATAATTTGCTCCAAAGCTGTAGACTTCTGCTGGAAGAGCCAGTAATGTTATTCCTGAAGTATGGCTAAAAAATAAAATAATTGATATATACATTGCATAGATTTATCCCTAAAAACGTTAATTTAAGAATAAATATAAATGCACATAGACTACCAGACAAAACTAGAGCAATAAATTTGTCTCTTTTTTTATTTATTATCATTCTGGAGCTATTTTCTTGTTGCATGTTTATACAATGTACTATTTTTGCTGGGAATACGCCACAAATAATCTTTAAAATTTATTTACACGTTTTGATTTTCACTTTGGAAATCGTTCTCAAAACATCCGAAGTGGAAATCGAAAAATCAAAATAAACTTATTTTAAATAAAAATGGCGCTTATTTCTAGCAAAAATTCTAGATAAGTATATTTATGAAGGTATGGTTAATTTTTTTAAAATTTTTGTTCCTATAAGCTAATGCAGGCCATTCACGTTCCGACTTGTGGTACGACTAGTGGTCCAACTTCTGCAGTTGGATCTGAAATCGGACCGTGAGTGGGCTAGTTGGATTAGTTGGACAACTAGTGGTACGACTAGTGGGACGACTTGAAGATCCGACTTCCGACTGGCGACGAAGTCGGAGCGTGAATGGTGAAGTTGGAAGTCGGATCACAGGTTGGATCGAAAATTTCCTCAGTCAGTTGACTTTCGGCACCTGTTACGTATGAGATTTCTATGAAATACTTTACGCAAAGATCTCTAGTTCGCAAATATTTATTAGAAAATAAACTTTCAATTGCACGAAAATTACCTTTTTGTTAGGGCAAATCATTTTCCTTTCTGTAGATCTATTTCGGACATTCCTATACAGGTAAATTTCCGATACTCCGGATTGGCTACGGAAGAATTATCAACAAACAATGAAAATTAAATCATAGTTGTAGCAAAAGATCCCTAGTTCGCAAAAAAATAATAGAAAATAACTTTCAATTGCACGAACAATTATTCCTATTAAAAATATACGACATACACACAACAAAATAAATCCCAGCTCCAGTTTAAAACAAATAAAATATAGATTTTATACCTATACAAATCTTTAAAAACTATAATTTTTTCCTACATCTTAAAAAGTCATAAAAATCAAGAGTTGAAAAAATTAATTAGTTCAGCCCTAGACAAATACCTAGAGAAACTAAACCTAATTTTTAAATTATCATAACATACATATAAAGATAACAAGCACAGTGCTGTCATTTTTCTCCTCCCAATTATATTTTGCATAGTGTTTATTCGATACATCCTAGAACTGAAGTTGGACCGCTAGTTGGATAGAAAGTCGGAGCGTGAGTGGAGACGAACATCCAACTAGTGGTACTACTTAGTGGTACCACAAGTCGGAACGTGAATGGCCTGCATTATGCAGGCCATTCACGTTCCGACTTGTGGTACGACTAGTGGTCCAACTTCTGCAGTTGGATCTGAAATCGGACCGTGAGTGGGCTAGTTGGATTAGTTGGACAACTAGTGGTACGACTAGTGGGACGACTTGAAGATCCGACTTCCGACTGGCGACGAAGTCGGAGCGTGAATGGTGAAGTTGGAAGTCAGATCACAGGTTGGATCAAAAATTTTCTCGGTCAGTTGACCTTCGGCACCTGTTACGTATGGGATTTATTTATTATTAACAAAAAATTGCAAATAACTTTCTGTTTCAAATAACTTCTAATTACTTTTTGTTAGAACAAATCATTTTCCTTCCTCTAGATCTATTTCGGACACTCCCACACAGGTACAACTTCCAACACTTCGGATTGGTTACAGAAGAATTATCAACAAACAATGAATGGAAATTAAATCATAGTTGTAGCAAAGATCCCTAGTTCGCAAATAAATAATAGAAAATAACTTTCAATTGCACGGAAAATGATTCTTATTAAAATATACGGCACACAGACAACAAAATAAATCCCAGCTCCAGTTTAAAACAAGTTTTTATTTCTTTCTATAATAGAATATAGGTTTTATACCTACACAAATCTTTAAAAACTATAATTTTTTCCTACATCTTAAAAAGTCATAAAAATCAAGAGTTGAAAAAATTAATTAGTTCAGCCCTAGACAAATAACTAGAGAAACAAAACCTAATTTTTAAACATACATATCATAACATACATATAAGAATAACAAGCACAATGCTGCCATTTTCCTTCCCCTTAATTATATTTTGCGTACTGTTTATTCGATACAGTACACCATCGTGAAAACAAACTAGAACTGAAGTTGGACCGCTAGTTGGATAG